AGCGTGGTCTTTCAGTCCATCTCCTCATTGTCTGATAGTTACTGAAGTAATTAGTTACTTATTCCCTTTTAAGAAAGACTAGGGGTATCTTCATTCTTGAAAATATTGTGTGGGTAGGTGCTGCCTTGGTTCCAAAAGAATCACTTTGTGGCTTGACTTCCTTGGCAAAGGTTTTCATCTCTGCAAATTTTAGATGCCAATGGGCCTGAGGTAAGAATCTACAACCTCAGGGCGCCTGGGTGGGGCAGTCGGTTAAGCGTCCGACTTCAGCCAGGTCACGATCTCGCGGTCCGGGAGTTCGAGCCCCGCGTCAGGCTCTGGGCTGATGGCTCAGAGCCTGGAGCCTGTTTCCGATTCTGTGTCTCCCTCTCTCTCTGCCCCTCCCCCGTTCATGCTCTGTCTCTCTCTGTCCCAAAAATAAATAAACGTTGAAAAAAAATTTAAAAAAAAATGTTTAAAAAAAATTAAAAAAAAAAAAGAATCTGCAACCTCAGACCTGCTTACGCAAAGCAAGTAAGTGGCTGGAGGTTTTGGAAGATCTCGTTAAAGGCCAACTACTTTTTTTCCTTTTCTTTTTCCCTGTCATTTATCCTTTCATATTTTGATACTGTTGTTGCAAAAGGTAGGAATTTTAAAAATTAATAAGTCACATGAGCTCAAAGTGTTGCATAGACTGGATCCACATAAGATTTTCAGGATTGTTACAGCCCTCATTTTTTTTTTACATTATTTTATTGTGGTTAAAAAATATATATATATACATATACATATACATATATGTATATGTATATATATATGTATATACATATGTATATGTATATATATATATATACATATGCATATATGTATATATATATATACACACACACACACAACATAAAGTTTGACATTTTAGCCATTTTTAAGTGTATAATTTGGGCATTAATTACATTCACATTGCTGTGAATGTATCCAAAAACTATTTCATCACCCTAAACAAAAACTTTGTAACCGTTCACCCATAGCTCCCAATCCCTCACTTTCCCCAACTCCAGGGACTGGTCCCTCCCTGTTAATGTCCTTTCTGCTTTCTGTCTCTAGGAATCTGCATATTCTAGGTTCCTTAAATAAGTGGAATCATACAATACTAGCTTCTTTCACTTAATATAATGCTTTCAAGGTTCTGGATCATGCATGAGAACTTAACTCCTTTTTTATGACTAAATAATATTCCATTGTCCATATATGGACACATATATGGCCACTTTTCATTTATCCATCCATCTACTGACAGACAGGTGGGTTGTTTCTACTTTTGGTTATTGTGAATAATGTTGCAATAAAAATAGGCACATAAATCTCTCTCTGAGCAACTATTTTCAATTTGATTGGATATATACCTAATAGTGGAACTGGTGGGACATATGGTAATTTTATATTTCATTATTTAAGAAATTGCCAAGCTGTTTTCCACGGTGGCTGTACCATTTTCCATTCACACCATCACATGTAAGGGTTCTAATTTCTCTATATCCCTGCCAACACTTATTGCCCCCCCCCAACCTTTTTTATTATAATTATCCTGGCAGATGTAAACGGATATCTCATTATGGCTTTGACTTGTATTTCCCTGATGACTGTGATGACAACAATGTTTCATGTGTTTGCTGGCCATTTGTATATCTTTTCTGCAAATGTCTCTTCAAGTCCTTTTCCCATTTTACTTATTTGTTTCTTTGTTTTTGAGAGAGACAGAATGTGAGTGGGGGAGGGACAGAAAGGGAGGGAGACACAGAATCCGAAGCAGGTCCCAGGCTCCGAGCTGTCAGCCCAGAGCCCAACGCGGGGCTCGAACTCACAAGCTGTGAGATCATGACTCGAGCTGAAGTCGGTCACTCAACCGACTGAGCCACCCAGGCGCCCCCCCTTTCCCATTTTTAAATATTAAACACTTACCAGTTATATGATTTGCAAATATTTTCTCCCATTCTATAGGGATTTTTTTCACTTTCTTGATAATGCCCTTTGAGATGCACAAATGGTTTTGGTTTGGATGAAGTCCAATTTTCCTGTTTTCTCTTTTGTTGCTCATGGTTTTGGGGCTATATCTAAGAACCCACTGCCAAATTCAAAATCATGAGATTGACCCACATTTGCTTCTAAGAGTTTCATGATTTCAGTTCTTATACATAGGCTACTGACTCATCTTGAGTTAATGTGTGTACATGCTGTGATGCAGGGGTCCAAATTTATAATTTTATGCCTTTGCACCAGGAAATCTAGTTGTCCTGGCATCATCTGTTCAAGAGAAAATATCCTCCCACCTGAATGGTCTGAACACTCATGTCAAAAATCAGTTGGATACAGATGTATAGGCTTGTTTTTGGAGTCTCAATTCTATCATTCCATTGGTTTATATGACTATTCTGATGGCAGTATCATACCGTTTTGATTACTGCAGCTTCGCTGATAGTTTTAAAATTGGTTAAGTGTGAGTCTCCCAGCTTTGTTCTTCTTTTCCAAGATTGTGTTGACTACTAAGGTTTCATGCCATTCCACATTAAATGTGAGTATCTGTTTTCTCCTGTTTGCAAAAAAAGGATGCTGGAATTTTCAGAGGAATTGCCCAGAATCTGTACATTGCTCTGGGTAGGATTGACATCTCAATGATATTAAGTCTTCCTAACCATAAATGCAGGATATCTCTTGCATATTTCTTTTTATCTAATGAAAAGTGAATTCAAGGCAACCAGTCAAAAGATCTCAATGACTGCACAATACTGTACTCCTGTCCCCTGACTTAACATGATTTTCATTTCTCTACTCTGTGATGAAATTATGATTAACTGGAATAATCCTGGCAAAATTTCCAGGGTTAGTGAGATCTCATATTAAAATCAAAACAGGGGGCACCTTCACTCAGCATGGAGTCTGCTTCAGATATTCTCTCTCTGTCTCTGTGTCTCCCCACCTCCTTCCGCCCCTCCCTCCCCCTCTGCCCCTCTCCCCTACTTGCGTGCTCTCTCTCAAATTAGAAAAAAAAAAAAAAAAAAAAAAAAAAGATTCTCTCTCTCTCTGCCCCCTGCCCTGCTTGCACATGCATGTGCTCTTTAAAATAAAATTTAAAAATTAAATCTCAGAGGAGCTATGTAAGTATTGAGTATTGTTAACAACTTAGTATTTCTTACTGTATTGAATACTTACTGTATTCAACTATTTCTTACTTAGTATTTCTTACTATTACGGTTTTATTATTATAATTTATAGTTCCATCACAAAGTTAATGAAATATAAAAACACACAAAGAAATATTCTTATACACAGACATACTCACACAGCAAAAGACTGAGTTAGTATTAGTTGTATAATGGATATTAAACCTTATTAGAAGAATGGGATGCAATTAATTACAATTAAGACATTAAGAGTACCAAAGAAATCATTATACTTTGTTTATTCCACTTAATTCTTTCCAGAAGTCAATGTTCTCTATATCAACTCTCACTGTAAATCTCTCAAATTTTCCTGAGAGGTGGAGGAAGATGGCTGTGTCCTGAGAGGGTCTACCTTGGATGATGGAGAAATGGATGGGAGACGATTACAGGAATGACGCAAAGTTGTGCAGTGCTCTCTAACCTTTTATGCTGAGGAATACCCCTTAGTTAGTTTTGAGCACACTCCTAAAATACATGTGTTTATAAATTATATACATGAACTACTCCCACCTCATTAAATTAAGTATTTAGGAAAGTTTAATTTCCTTTGTTTTTAGACACAAAATAAATAAGTTCTAATATGTTTTTTTCTTGCAACACACTGGATCATCTTGTACACCATGATGAAGACAACTGCTTTAGAGTATTAAAAAACAGAGGGGCGTCTGGGTGGCTCAGTCGGTTAAGTGACCGACTTTGGCTTAGGTCATGGTCTTGCAGCTTGGGGGTTTGATCACGCACTGGGCTCTGGGGTCTGTGCTGACAGCATGAAGCCTGGAGACTGCTTTGGATTCTGTGTCTCCCTCTCTCTCTGCCCCTCCCTCGCTCACTCATGCTCGCTCGCTCTCTCTCTCTCTCTCTCTCTCTCTCTCTCAAGTATCAAAAACATTAAAAAAAAAACTGTTTAAAAATCAATTAAAAAAAGGAAGACAAAGGCCCAAAGGTTTCTGCTCCTTATTATATGTCCTAATTCTGCTTATTCTTCTTAAAACTCAGAGACTCTGAATTTCTGTCTCTTTCTTGAGAGTACTATCTCACTTAATCTGTGAATGTTCCTTTGTTGTCACTACTAATAAAAACTTCTCCCTGAATGGTCATTTTATAAGAAAGCTTCCAAGTGTTGCTTTCAGGGGGTAAAGATGGGTCAAGAATCTTGTCATGTGACATGTTAGGATAGAAGAAAAGAGAGCCCAGAGGATCAGGTGCTCTCGGGAGGTGGCAAAAGGGAATCTGCCCTGTTGGCAGGTAGGAGGCTGCAGAGTGGGAAGAGGCAGGTCTAGGGGGGTGACAGAGCCCTCAGGAGGTACGGTGTGTTATCACAAGGATTCTTCCTTTGCAAATCAGTCAGGAAATAAAACTCCTTCTCTTGCCAAGTAGGTGGGTGGTTACCCATCCTCTCTAACAGGAATCAAATGACAGACAGGGACGTTTACCAACGTCACGGGCAAAGATATTACAAAAAGCCCAAAGTTAAATGATGTCATCTTCCAGTGGTAGCACTGCTGGACTACTTTTTTCATTTGCAACATTGACACTGAAAATATTACCACTTCCCCTTGTAATCTCTTATTCCTAAGGCCACAAGTACGCCCGCCCACCTAACAAGTAGTAAAGCACATTTTAGGTCAAACTAGAAAACAGAAGGAAAGTATCTCGCCAGGCTCCAACACGATGCCAGACAGGGTGGACTGTACTGTGTGCATAGACAAAGTGACAGGAAGGGATGGTGGTGCTGGGAAACTGAGACTTGACACAGGGGATGTGTGGTCTGGTGGTTTTGTTTGATTTTTCTTCTTCCCCACTTACATCACTGAGCCTTTCCCGGGAGCTGCTCCTGTGGAAGCCCTTGGATTCTCCGCTGGCGCTTTCACTGTCACTGTCCCTGCAGCTGTTCTGGCCTGGCTTCAGCTAAAGGCAAAAGAAAAAGAGGAGAAAGAACAAAGTCAGTGGTCTCCTCACACAACTGTTCTTCAGGTCTTGTCAAAGTGAACAACTTAAGGTCCTGCATTTGAACATTCTTCTCAGCTTCTGAGTAGTGCCAGGCAAGCAGACGCAGGAAGAAACACAGAGGGCAGGCTAAGCAAAACATATACCATAAAATGTCAATGTAAATCTGAGTGAATAAGCCTAAACACACACACACACACACACACACACACACACACACACACACACACCCTGAAAAAAAAATCTAACAAAGGTCCATGAATCCTGAAAATTAATCTTCCCTCTGATTTTTCCTCTATTCCACTGGGGCATTTTTGTCAATAATATAAAGACCAAACACAATGAATTAAAGCCAGATTACACCAACTCTGGGGGCCCGCCTTATTTCCCCTGTCCTCCTCTGAAGAAAGAATACAACAAAACAGAGCAAAAGACAATGTCTTCTTCTAGGTGAAAATGATGAGATGCTCTATGTTATTGTTCAACCACCAAGAAGACAATGATCCTGATTTCTGAGACAACACTGTGGAGGTCCCCTGTCAGATATTTAAGAGTGCCAAATTAAGACCTACAGCTTAAGGATATTAGCCAGCACTCATTCAACAAATATGTATTGAGTGTGGCATCTAGGCCTGGTAGTAAGAGCTGAAAATATGATGCTAAACCAAAAAAAAAAAAAAAAAAAGGGTAAAAAGTCTCTAATCTTATGAAGCTTACATATTGGCAGTTTCTACACGTTTACCCGGCTCTGATATTCCACTGAAATGAATAAACACACAGAACTGCAAACGATTAGTCTATATGGGACTATGAGTCCCCCACATATGGACCATTAGTCTATGATGCTATCATCAGCAACCACCTTTGGAGAGACCGCAAGCAATCTGATGCAGGTTATAACATACAGCCCTTTCACAATGTTCTTAATCTCGCAAGGGAAAGACGGCGAGGCAAGCAAATATAATAACACAAGGAAACACATGCTAAATGTAATACCAAAAAGAAGGAAGAAAGGTAACCTCTGAAGCCTTGGATTTTTCAAAGTGGATTGAGCTCATACGGCTGAGAGGAGAGGGGAAGATACTCTTGACAGGAGAAAGACAGAAAGCAAAGGCAGGGAAAGCAACATGCTAGGAAATGATCAGAAGGAGTCTTATCTGAAACAGAGATTTCCTTCTGGGAGGAAATTGGAAGAAACATTACAGAGGGGTGCACGGATCAGACATGGAAAGTCTCAAACAAAACATAAGCCCCATACTTCTGGGAAGGAGGGAATTTCAGAGAGAAGAACAGGTAATAGGTAGCACAATTTTTGCCTGCAGGTTTGCATGTGGCTCCGGGGCCAAGGGGGAATGTGAAGCAAGACAAATGGAGAATGAATCTAAATCCACATTCCTTGTCTAATGTGCTTCTTTAAAAACTGCAGTTCAGGTCCCACTCTGGGTCACACCGGCTAATAAGCTGTCCCCAAATCCCCACTATACAGAGCATTCGTTTTTTGCTTTCAGCCTTTCTACAAATCCACTTTTATCACTTTCTTCTAAAACTCCATTTCTCCAGAAGTCTTCTCTAATGGAACCCAGAAAAATGATACTCATTTTACTTTGTATTCTCCTGGGCCCTTAAGTACTTAGTTTCCTTCTAAATTACTGCTAAACCTGCTAATTCTAAGTTAATTCAGATGCAAGCTATATGAGCCTTTTCTTATTACTATGGAATAAAAGTTCAGAATATTGTCATTCTCTTCAAATTTTCATTTTTACACTTATAATAAAGGGGAATTTAATCTAAAATGAACATCACTTTCTCTCAATTTCGTGAACATGTCATGTCCATTTCCATCCTGCACCTATGTATTCACACTAGATTTCCTCAACCAGTAAAGCTCACCCTACCCTTCTCTGTGCATTTCAGGTCAAGATTGTTTTTAATGCTCAGATATGACCCGCTATGGTTTTTGAAGAGCTCCTTCTTTCTAGATATATTTTTTGATGTATGCCTTCAAAGTTTAGCCAGTATATCATTCTTCATTAAACGCCTCTGATAATTATATACTTTCAAGTATGAAAAGGCTTACTGTTATTACATGCATCTGACTGGTGATAAAATCTGTATGTGGAACAGGCACTCTAATTTATAGGCAATGTCATAATTTTCATCTCCCTGGACCTCTGACTTAAGTAAAGGCAGGTAATGCTACTTCCAATGAGTGAATGAAGAAACAAATAGAGCAAATAATATGCTCAGAATTAAGCAAGATATCTAGGACTCAGTCCATGTCTGTACAGCTTACCGCTCTCTTCATTTTACTTCTTAGAACCTATTTAGTATGTTAGCATTTCGTGTGGAAATAATGAAGTCTGCAGGATATGAATATTCTCTACAGAGTATGTTTTTAATATATTTGTGGTACCTGACTTAATTCACACACAAAAAAAGAAGTCTCATAAAGTGATATTGATCAAGAGGTGTTTATAAAAACTCAGCCCCTCAACCTAGACGAGATAAACATCCCGTAGGGAATTAACAGCATAAGAGCATGAAGACTTCTCCTGATATCCACCTGGCTTACCAAAATCTGGACATGGCATTTGGATCTCTTCCATATTTCTTCACAGAAGGAAAATGATGACTTTAACAGGCCCAACAAGAGACTTCAGTGGCTCTGATGTAAATTATCTGACTAAATGTTGATCTAGGCTAAGGGCAAAACCCAAGAAGGACTGAGATGAACCAGTTTCCTTGCCTTCCCTGTGCCCTTCCAGCAAAAGCACATCAGTGAATTCTCTTTGGAGAGCCTTACATAAAATCCGCCCCCACACTGCCCTTTTCTCCTCCAAAGCCAGGCTCAAGTTTAAAGGAAACTTAGGATTTTAAGCTGTCAGACAGCTCAATATTTCAAAGAAATGGACTGACTACAGTAAGTACTAAAGCTAAACCACAAGATTTCAGGCAAAGAAGTATTCACTCCTAATCCCATGAATACATTTAAAACTGGCATTTTCAGCCATATCCAATGGATCATTTGGGGTAGCACAGCTAACTTAGAAGTTGTAATCCTTCACCTGAAATTCCCAGCTATTACCTACAACCAAGAGACATTACAAAGGCCAGGTGCTGGCTTAAACATTTAAAGACCTAAGAAAAATCGATCCGCTTGCATTGATTTGTCCTAGCACCCATGGCGGCTGTTGTAAGAAAGCTATTGCTATAACAGATGCAATGAGATTTCTTACTACCATTTTTTAGATACGCTAAAATACCTTGTTTATTTAAAAATTAATGATTCACTCATTTCCAGAATTGTCTTCTCATTAGAATATTATACAATTTTGGCATCAGAATTACAACAAAACAGATGAAATAAAAAGGAAGCTAGAATCTGGCATGAGTGGTAATGATCCTATCAATAAGATTAACAACTTTTATAATATATAAGAAGATGAGTTGTTTTCCATTCGACTTCATTGTCAACAATACAATCAAAAACTCTGAAGCTGTTATGTCGTTAGAGTTAACTGTTATTAATGGCTAATTAGGAAAATAACGATCCATGGTTTTATCGCTGCTAATGAACATGTAACGAAATCCCATCACGCTGGACTCAGTGAAGGTGGAGGAATTCTGTATACACCTGCCAAGATTTGTGACCCAGGCTCTGCCACTCTTCAGCTTGAGTATGGAGAGTTCAAGATGCTAGATGCTCTGTGGGTGTCATTAACTCTTCAAACAAAATTCGCAGAAGGATAAAGTATGTGGAGATGATACCAATGCCTGAAACTCAAGCGGAATGATGTGAATTATGCACTGCAATGCAGAAAAGCATCCAAAAGTAACCTCCTACCACCATTTTGGTCCCTCAAAGCAGCATAAATCCTATGTCTGACTGCTGAGTTTTCCTGCAGGGATCTGAATGAACTTCACACAATGTTTTAAAAATGTGTCAATAAGCACAGACTTGTCTATTTTTCAATGAAATTTTGTAACATGCCTTCACTAACATCAAAATGGCAAGTATTTAATCTTGTAAAAACGTTTGTGTTTTTTTTCCAAAACGAAACTCTTCCCATTTGTTGAAATATTCCCCATAGATTGGGTTGAATTTGTACTATATTTTTTTATTTTTTATTTGAGTAGAGTTGACACACAATGTTTTATTAATTTCAGGTACAACCTAGTGATTCAACATCTCCATATGTTATTCTGCCCACAAATGCAGGTGTCACCATACAATTCTATTATAATACCATTGACTATATTCCTTATGCTGTACCTTTTATTCCTAGAATGTATTCATTCTATAACTGGCAACCTGTAATACCCACTCCCCTTCACCCATTTTGCCCATTCACTCATCCCACTTCCCTCTGCCAAACATCACCTTGTTCTACGTATTTATGGGTACGACTCTGTTTTTGGTACCTTTATTCATTTGTTTTGTTACTTAGATTACACTTCTGAGTGAAATAATATATTTGTCTTTCTTGGTCCGACTTATCTCATCTAGTATAATACCTTCTAGGTCCATCCATGTTGTTGTAAATGACAGGATCTCATTCTTTTACATGACTGTGTAATAGTCCATTTCGTGTGTGTGTGTGTGTGTGTGTGTGTGTGTGTGTGTGCACGTGTGTCACATCTTTATCCATTCACCTATCTATCAATAAATATGTGGGTTGCTTCCATATTTTGGGTCTTATAAATAATGCCATAATAAAGATGTGGGTGCATGTAACTTTTCAAATTAGTATTTCCTTTGGGTAAATACCCAATGGTATGATTGTTGGATCATAGGGTATTTCTATTTTTAATTTTTTAAGGAACTTCCATACTGTTTTTCAGAGTGGCTGTAGTGCATCTGCATTGTCTTATTCCTTGAGTTTTAAAAGGTACTTAAGATGAGAGAAAGAGAACTAAACTACTTAATGAAAAGCTGACACATCAAAATAAGCTAACAGGAA